AAAAAACCCAAGCACTATTTAAACATATAAACACACCCAAAACCCATCATTACACACACTCAAAACCCATTTATAAACACACCCAAAAAGTTGACTTTGGGGTTGATTTTGGGTGTGTTTCTATGTTTAAATAGTGCTTGGGTTTTTTTATAAATACATGTCTAGAATTGGGTTTATTTATAAATTTGTATTTTTAATTTTAAATTAATTAAAATATTAATAAAATATTAAAAACCAATAAAACTAAAAATAATTTCTCTCTCTCTCTCTCTCTCTCTGCATTCTCCCGATCAAGCCTCTCTCTTCCTCACTGTTTGTCGACAACCACAAACACCAATCCCTACACCCCGATCCCCAGCCACCATCTCCATCACATCCTCCCTCACCATCATCCCCAGCAAACCTCTCTCTCATCTCTGCCCGCAACCACAGCCCCACGAACCCAGAACCCCAGCCCGTAACCAGTCAGACCTCCTCCCCCTTCTTCCTTCCAATTTCTTCCCCATCCCCATTCCTCCCGATTTCTTCCCTCCACCATGACCACTCACAGCCATCCCCCAAAACCCCCACCTCCAAACGAACCCAGGACTCTAGCCGGCAACCAATTTGGGCTGCGACAGTGGCTTTCTCAGCTCCTTCCAGGGAAACCAACCTTCCAATTCCTCTGCTTTGATGGGTTTCACAACCATCAATTCTCAGTCTCAGATGGGTACTCCCGAATTGAGTTCGAGAGCCGAGTTCCCAACGACTCGGTTGCTGCCAACGCCCAACAACGACACTGAGTTCGATGGTGACTTTAGCCTTACGGGCTTCCAAAGCTTCGATGGCTCTGGGGGTACTCAGCTACTCAGCAGGGCTAAGCCACTGAGACCCCTTTACGTATTCCCTCACGTGGGACCGATAAATTGGGGAATTTGGAGATTTCGGGGACCGCCACCACCACTGCCGCTGGCTCCGCCGCCGCCGAGAGAAGAAGACAGTGTTGAAAAGGATGTGGAGGGCTTGGGCTTCTTCTGGTGTCAAGAACAGAGGTGGGCTCAGTGCTGCACACAGAGCAATTCTCCTTGTTGCTGTTTCCACTTTTACTGCTGCTGCTGCTGATTGTGGTGGTGGTGGAGATGTTGATTTTGCACTGACTGTGAATCTGAAATTGAAGAAGAGAAATCTAACTCCCCCTTCCCTTGAAGCTGCTCAAAGGGTAAGGGCATGGCCTTCATCTAACAAAATAAACACTGACCCAAATACACACAAACCCAAGAACCCAGCAACCTCCAGTTTTTTCAAGACCAACACAGAGAGAGAGAGAGAGAGAGAGAGAGCTGGTGGTGGTGTCATGGGGTAGAGAGCAGAGAGGAGAGATCTGGGTTTTGAAATCGTTGCAAAGAGAAAACGCAGAGAGAGAGAGAGAGAGAGAGAGAGATTTTTAATTTTTTGGTTTTTAATATTTTATTCATATTTTAATCAATTAAAAATTAAAAAATTTGAAAAATGTCGGACCCACCGTGCCACACAGGCAACTAACAGAGATATCTGACGGAACCCTAACGGTGGAATCAGATTGCAACAAATTTACAAGCTCGGGGTATGTGATTGTAAAAATTGAAAAGTCAGATACTAACATGCCTTAACGTTGTATGTACAGGATACTAAAGTGTTATTAACCCTAATTGATACAAGCGTTACTACGAGAATTTGAAATTTTGAACACGGGACCTAGATTTGTCCATTCCTCTTTTTTTTTTTTTTTTTTTTTTTTCTTTTCTTTTAGACTTTTTGCGAGACAACACAAACATGTTCCCTCCTGAAGTCATCTCTTGTTTCTTTAATCTATTGCAGCTAAGCACACCAATTTATTATTATTATTATTATTTGCACTGTTATATATAGGAATTTGTTAATTAATTATGTCGACTCCACGTTGACAGATACCACGCAATGTGACAGTTTACGAGACCTCAAATTAATAGAAAATTAAAATAAGAACATAAAAATATGTACAGAAAATGGCACGCCTTTGTTAGCTAGCCATGTGCCATCAAGATCTTTGTCACCATCCGAAAAATATTAAAATCCCCTTAGTAAATTAATCTATTGCATATTTCATATAATACTCGTGAGAGCCTAGAAGAAGTCAAAAAATGTCGAAGATAATTTCAATAATATATATATATATAGCTCAGTAATCAGTATATAATATGCTCTTAAAACTAATGTGTCAAACCAAAATTATAATATATTTTGATTAAAAAAACAAATTAAAATTAAAATTAAAATTTATATACAATTTCTAGGCACATATTCCGTATGCATATAAACCAAATCATAGGCATAGAAACCAAATCCGGCTTTTGGGCTACCTTAGTCTAATTGACTGTCCTAGTTTGTGCTACTTTCATTTTCATCAACTTCATACTGCATGTGTACATTTATTGCTTGTCCTAATATGTTTCTTGTTCTTAAGGTAAATCTGCTCGGTCAAAGCATTCGGAATCATCTAATAACATTGATGCTGATGGTGATGAGGATTGGTCGGTTGATATTTTGAATTCAACTTACGGAAGTTAGTCGATCCTCAACTCTATTATTCAAGTTAGGCCTGTAATTCGGATCGGAAACTAGTGTTCCGAATTCCAATCCGAAAATTTTCGGAATTCAATATAACTTCCAATTCCAATCCGAAAAAAATTCGGAATTTCAAATCTTATTCCGATCCCAAAATTTCGGATATATCGGAAAAATCGGAATTTTTCGGAATACACTTGTAATCTGAATCCGCTCTAGCTTTTGCTGTGGCGTTTTAATCGAATTCCAGTTTCTTACCAGGAAAAAAAAACTACTCCAAATTTATGCCTTAATGATTGAAAACACCCAAAAGTCGTTTTCTATATTTTCAGGATCTGTGTTATCAGGCGAGCACCACACCCACAGATCCAGTGCAACCACCACACCCACCACCCAATTGAACCAACACTGTCAAACCAAATAGAACCTCCACATTAAACACAATCGAACCCAATTGAAGGGGATGACGATCTGCGACTTTGAAGGGCAAAATAGAGAAAGATCGGGAGGGAGAGAGAGCCAAGGATAGAGAACTAGAGAGAGAAAGAGTGAGAACCAGATAACTTGGGAGGAAGATAGAAAAAAACAGAGGTGATTTGGGTGAGTTTTAGAGACACAGGAAAAGAGAAGGTGGGGGGGCGTAAGAAGAAAGAAGACAGAAATAAATATAAGAAGATGAACGGTGGTGGAGATATACAGAAATAGGGGATTAGGTTAGGGTTGAGATTTGGCATTTGGGCTGCTGCAAAATGGGCTGGGATAAAAGTAACTGGGCTGCTGGCATATTAAACCTTAAACCTTTTTGTTTTTCTTATTTTGTTGGAAATGTTATATAAACCTTATCATGATTTTTATAATTAAAAATGTGTGACCCAACTAAAAATGTTATATAATTTTTAATATGTTAATATTAACTAACAATGAATGCACTTGTTTAAATTATGATATTTTTTTCATGTAACTTTTATTTATTAAATCTTATTTCATCTTTAAAAAAAATTTATGAACATTTTAAAGGAAATAGTAGTATAGTAGATAGCACCATTACTTATAATTATATGTATATTTAATTTATATAGGGAGAGATAGTTTCTGTTTGATATAATTAAATCTATGTTTAATCTTGGTTTGTATAAATGTAACTTGGGAAATCTTTTATGTTTTATGTATACATATACATTGTAACAAAAAATAGATATACATGTACATCTAAAACCAAATGAAAGTATTTTACGTGGTATTAGCTAATGACAATTTAATGGAAAAATAATTTAGTCTTGCTCTAGATAAGCACACATATACTCCTATCATGATTCATAGGTAACAAGCACACATATGCATTTTTGTTATATAGTATAGTCAAAAATACATAATCTTAGAGTGATATGTATACATATATATGTATATATAATAAACCTTTAGTATATATAGGCATGTGTATAATTCTGATGTATACATGTATGTGTGTTTTATATATAACATACATTATAACAAAAAATAGATACACATATAATACTTAAGTATACATGCATTTTTGTTATATAGTATGTTTGGATATGATAACCACACATACGAATTTTTGTAATATTCAACCAAAAATGTTATCCAAAAATACAGTCTTAAAGTAATATATACTCATATGTTTAGTATACATGTATATATGAATATTTGTATGTTGGAGGGCACTTAAATATAACAAATAAGAAATGAAACATATATAGGACCTATAAACTAAAAACAATGCAATTAAACTTATAAATCATAAAATATTATTATAAATTCGGAAAATTTTGGAAACAATTCGAAAAATCGGATCGGAAAGGGTTCGCAGAACTTTGGAAATTTTTGGATCGGAATTTTTGGAATTTACAAATACATTCCGATTCTGATTTTTATCGGAAATTTCGGATTTCGGCACTTTCGGATATCGGATGTATCAGAGTCGGATTTTTTTGGAAATTTTTGGACCGGAATCGGATTTTCCAATCCAATTTACGGCCCTAATTCAAGTTGATAGAACGTTCAAAATGGAGTGGTCTAGCATAGTTGTTTCCTGTTTTTGCCAGCCTATTATTTAATGATTCTGATTTTCCTGTTATTGCCACTACTTGTCAACCTAACCACATTCTAACAGACTAACTAATTAGAGTGACACGTGGATATACTCTATCAGGCTCCACTAAAAACCTTTACAACAGTTTGCATATTATATCTCCATCATTTTCACAATTAAAAAAAAAACACAAAATATATCAACAGAGCAGATGCAGATGCTAATCTCACAATCTGGGTTGGGCCACTTCAGTTTTCCAGCCCAAAGATATGTTAAAACTGAACAAATGGGGTCAATAAAAATAATCCCCCAGAACAAATGGGGTCAATAAAAATATCTCCGAAGAAGATGTATGCAAAAACAAATAGTCTGCTGCTGAGATGTACAAGAAATTCATCCAGGGCAACAGAAACAAGCTGCGAGCACCTTCCAGCCACAGAGGCCGCCGGAGTTATTGCTGCCTGTAGTGGTTGCAACTGTGATATCATCCTGTTGCTCTTCTTCTTCGTCTGGTAAACATACAAAACCAGAGAAAAAACCTCCTCAGGAAAACATATATACAAGACAAGTGAAAATCCAAACAAATTAGAGAGGAATAGGGACTAACAAAATATAGATTCATTTATTATTTTTATTTATTTTATATTTGGATATAGTTGGAGTAAAATTATGAAATTGCGTCAATAAAAACTTCACACCTATCGTATCTTCTTCATCAGAGTCCCCAGGGCTCATATTATACCATATTTGATGATCATAAGAAGAATCTGTGGAAATCATATTATGATTCTCTTCTTGTTGCACCTGCACAAGTCGGATGCCCAACTCCTTTACCAGAAACCATGATTTCATAATTACAGAAACAACCACTTCATCGCCACCTTGCAACTGATCATCCAAATTCCAGTGGCTTAACCATATCATGTCTTCTCCTTCACCTGGAATACCGTAGTGTGATGGGTAATACACCCTCCTCAGACCATTGCTCTTATTTTTGACTCTTATTAGTAGCGTACCATGGGGGTTGATAATAGGAGAATCACAGACAGCATTCACATAGACAACAAAGACAATCAAGCCTCGAGTTCTGTGATTATCAAGTAATGGCACAGTAAAAGATATTGAAGACCCCCTGCTTTTATGGCTGAATTGGCCTGGAACATTATTCCCACCAAAAAATGTGCTGAATATACCATATTCGTACAGTCCCTATATATATGCAATAGAACTGGCAATATTAGTCAACTCTTTCCTGTGATCATATGAGAGAGAGAGAGAGAGAGAGAGAGAGAGAGAGAGAGAGAGAGAGGGGCGCACACCTGGACGGGATTTGGTTGTGCTGTACACATCTGAATGGGTGCCATTGATTCCAACAAGTTGCACATTCCCAAGAGGTTGATCATTTCTGCATCAACTCTACCAATGGGTTGTAACTTGAACTTGTACTCCCACTCAACTAGGCTGTCGGTATCACGGCATGCGTAATCATGCCGAAGGAATGAAGAGGATTGATACGTTATTTTCTCCAATGATATGCAATGGTCGATATCCAATTCGTTTAGTTTTGGTAACCCCAGAAGCGATTTGAGACTTGTACACATGGAAAAAGAGAGTTCATGGAGCCTTGTTAATCCTTTGATACAATTTGGTAGGCTACCAAATGGATTATTACCTAGATTTAGTCTATGCAACAAGGACAAATGACTAAAATCCATAGGAAAGGCATCATCCGAAAGATTGCACCCCCAAAGACTTAATTCTACTAAAGAGCATGGTAAAGAACCCAAGATACTCGAACTTCTTTCTAGCCATAATTCACTTATCGGAATTCCATCTGTCTCAAGCACTTTTAACGAGTCCATGTTCCTCAACATCTCAATTGATAACCCATTAAGATTTGAGCAACCAGATATAATAAATGTTTCAAGTGATTTTAGCATACAAATGTTCTTGGGAAGCATCCTAAGGTTTTTGCAATCTTTCATATTCAAGTAAATAAGTCTCTCTAGGTTTCCAATGGATCCATGGACATAAATCAGGCTCGTGCAGTCTACTAGAACCAATTTCTCTAGATTTGGGCAATATGAGAATTCAATGGTTTCTGTAAGGGAATGAGAATGGCTGAGATCAAGGATCTTCAAGGACCAAAGACACTGTAAAGGGGAAAAAATGTACGAAGGAAAAAATCAATGTTGAGAATTAATTGTTATAGATAAATAATTTGTTATCAAACTAAAACCCTAATTAAAATGAAAAAGAAATTGAAAAGAGTACAGAGTAACATACTTTTGTTCCCTTGAATACTTGTCTCAGACCGCTGTATTGCATTTCAAGAATAATAATGCTTTCCAAAGGAAAATCAACGGGTATAGAATCCAAAGGAAACTTAGTCCAACACAACCATCTTAGTCTTTTACAAAATTTTGCATAAGATCCGTTAAGTTGTACGTGACTAAGATGGAGTAGTTTTAGTTCCCACATACTTGAAAATGCATTGGTTTCCAAGACTTTCTCATTTGAGTTTATAGTAGGGCACATGTGCATGTCAAGGACAAGACCTTCAATTGTTTCCGTGCCCTACAAATGAAAGGAGAAAAACATTTGGAAAATATTTACAAGAAGAAAAACATATATGTGTACAAAGAACGCATATTTCTTACATTCTTTTCCATCAAGATTTTGAAAGAGTCCTTATGATGCCATACTCTACTACGCTTCCAAGGTTCATTTGATTCTTGGCAAACAATTTCTCTTCCCATTCCATGAATCAGGTCGTGCATATGCACCTTGTCGAATTCATCAATAGTCACCAAACATCTATCGATGAGATTTTGAATGCCAACAATTGTATAGAAATCACATCCATCTAGTATTTTAACAATGTAATCTTTGTCCCTTCCGATAAAGAAACAAGCAATGTGGAGGAATAATTTTCGGTCATGGTCATCTTGCAAAGAGTCATAGCTTAATCTTAGTTTATTTATTATTTCACGATTTGGAATAGCTTCTAACTTCTCCAATGCACTTTTCCATACATCTATACTATCCCCCAAGTACATAGAAGAACCTAAAACTTTAAGAGCTAATGGAAGTCCTCCGCAATGATCCACTATTTTTTGTGAATATTCTACGTAACCTTCAATGGGATGGTCCTGACCAAAAGCGTGCCAACTAAAAAGCTCCAATGATTCCTTGTCATCCAAAGTTTCAACTTTGTGCATCTTAGTAACTTGATGAGCCCTTAACAATCTTGCATGCCTAGTTGTTATTATGATTTTACTTCCTGGATAAAACTGATCTTTCATCCGAAATACTGCATCTAATTGATCCATATGATCCACATCGTCGAGAACAAGGAGAACCTTCTTAGAGCTTATTGCATCTTCAATCTCAGTTAATCCTTCACTAACACTGCTTATTTTCATTTTTCTCCTATTCAAAATATCAGAAAGAAGCTGTGTTTGTAATTGAACCAAGCCATTGGGTTGCTGGGAAACTTCTTTTATGTTTTCAAGGAAGCTGCTTCCTTCAAACCTTCCAAAGTTTGAATTATAAACAGACTTTGCAATGGTTGTCTTCCCTATTCCACTCATGCCATAAATTACAAGTATGCCAACATCATCTGATCCATCTTGTAACCACAAATTCAGTTTGTTGACTAGATCTAGAGAATGCCTTCCGATCATGATGCGGGGAACACTTAGGGGTCTACGCCTTAGTTTCCCTCCTATCACTTGAACAATCTTGTTGATAAACTTTGACTCGTGTCTGAAAAGTTGCAATCCAAATGAAAAAAGAATTCAAACATCCTTGCAATAGCACAATCCGTCAACTAAGTTGATTTTTCCATCAATTTTTGCACATCTTCTCATTTGAAAAACCCAACTTTAAGATTTGTTTGATTTGCTTAAAATGAGCTTGGGGTTTCTGAAAAACATTCTTATGGATTTGATCCTCATGTGGATTAGGCATGAAAACTTTCTTTGGATTTGATCTTGATGCTTCATGCATATTTTGTGGTGCTTCGTAACTAAAATCCACGAATGTACCTCCTATGTTCAAATTTTTTTATAATCAATTTTGTACCTCCTATGTTCAAATTTTGAGCTTCCATTGTTCTAATTTTAGTTATCTATCCTAAAAATATTTATTGGAAATTTCAGAAATATTATAATTAACACACCCTAAAAACATTAATAATCGTTGGAAGGGATTATATTTAGTTTTAGGAGTGAGTTTGCAAAAAAAAAAGACAAAGACGGTAAATAAAAGAAGTGGTAGGAAAGAGATTACCCATCAGCTTGATTTTGTAAGACCATCCCTGCCAGATCTGCAACCTCTTTAAGTGCCTTCCTCCATTCCTTCACTTTGTTCGACGGTTGGGTTTTTTGGTGTCTAGCAAATGCCTTTGCAAGACTTCCTGTCTGCTTCCGCAAGTCGGATGGATCCGCGTCGTAGAAGACAGGTAAAACGACATGGTCAGCTGAGATCCTCTTGCGTTCAAGGATCATGACGAGCTCGTCAAGGCACCATCTGGACGACGCGTAGTTTTTTGAGAACACAATAACAGAAGTTCGTGAGTGTTTGATTGCTTTCTGCAGTTCAGGCTTGATACCTTCTCCTCTCTCGACTTCATCGTCGTCTCGGAAAGTGCGAAATCCGGCGTTGACAAGGGCCGTGTAGAGGTGGTCAGTGAAAGCCTTGCGAGTGTCTTGACCTCTGAAACTCAGGAACACGTGATAACGACAATATCGAGAAGTACTGGAAACAGAGGAGGTTTGTGAATCGGCTGCTCTCACAAGTGCCATGGATGAGGTGTTGTGAACATGTAATCTGCCTTGATGGATTGTATAAACAAGCAGCTTGTGAATGACCAAATGAAAGGATCATCCATCCATTGACTTAAAAAGTTGAGTCAAGCAAATCAAATCATTGTTTGTGTCTTTGAATACATGCACTTAAAAAGCAAGCACGTGAAATCAAGATACCTTTTTTCTAAAAGGATGCACTAATATCGAGTGAGTCAAGGGGGCAGGCAGAGGTTTTTCGCTCGTTTTAAGATAAACAAGCCAACTGGTGGCGACAGTTGTTGTCCTTTCTTAATGACTCTTTCTTAATGTCCTTTCTTGAGGACTTTATGCATTCACTAATATCGGATTTGATTGGATATTCCTTATATTTAAAGCAGGTTCAGCATCTCTAAGGGCGTATGCAATAAAATTGTATTATAAGAGCATTCACAATAATGCTCTCTATTTCTTAGTTAAAATTTGGCTAAGAATATAAGAAAGCTATTTTAGGAGCTTTCTAAAAAAATTTAATTCCAACTATACTCCCTAATTTGGAGAGTCATAAATGCTATAACTATTTTTTGATTGGTCCATCTCTATTAAAAAATAAAATAAAAAATAATTAGCATTAAATAAATGTTTGAAATACTCATTAAATAAAGCAGCATTAAATTATAGTGAGCCACTAGAAGTTCCTTATCTCTCCTCAGACATACTCATTAAATAAATCATCATTAAATTATAGGGAACCACTAGGAGTCATTTCTCTCTCCTCAGATTTAGGAGCTCCTAGAGGACTCCCTATTTTAGGAGGTGGATAGGGAGCATGGTTGGAGTTGCATTTTTACAATTCCTCCCTAAAATTTGTCTAAGGAGGTGGTTTAGGGAGCCCATTGTGGATGCTCTAAGAAAACTATTTTAGAAGCTCTCTAAAAAATTTCAACTCCAACCATACTCTCTAATTTGGAGGAAATGTTATAACTCTTTTTTGATTGGTTCATCTCTATTAAAAAATAAAATAAAAAATAGTTAGCATTAAATAAAAGTTTGAAATATTGATTAAATAAAGCAGCATTAAATTATAAGGAGCCACTAGAAGTCCTTTCTCTCTCCTCAGATTTAGGAGCTCATAGAGGATTCCATATTTTAGGAGGTGGATAGGCATCGCGGTTGAAGTTGCATTTTTACGATTTCTCCCTAAAATTTGTCTAAGAATGTGATTTAGGGAGCCCATTGTGGATGCTTTAACAATTAGGTGGCATATTGCCTAAACATTCATCCCATAAAAAAAGTTGATCACTCAAGGGACTAGACAATGCAAGTATATAAACTATTATTATATTATTTACTTTATCTTTTACATTTATTACTATTATATATTATAAAAAGTAGGTGAGAGAGTAGAAATGATATTTTATTATAAACATAAAGTGGGATCCAATATGTACATATTCATTTTCACTACAACACAAAAACCCTTCTATGACGTCTGATTTGCGTCATAGAAGTCATTTAATGACGCGGATCGGGCGTCATTACTCGTGCCGTAGAAAGGGGGGGTCATGGAAACTTTTTCAAAACACGACATCTGTTCTGCGTCATGGAATAGGGTTTCAATGAAGCGGATAACGCGTCATGAAAACTTTTTTAAAACACGTCTATACCGCGTCATGGAATGAGATTTCAATGACGCGAATGGCGCGTTGTGGAAACTTTTTCAGAACACGACATCTACTCCGCGTCATGGAATGGAGTTTCAATGACGCAGATATCGTGTCATGGAAACATTTACAGAACATGACGTCTATTCCGCATCATGGAATGTGGTTTCAATGACACAGTTTATACGTCGTTGAAATTCTTTAAATTTTTTTTAAAAATAAAAATTCTTAATATATATATATATATATATTCCATCATTTTAATTATGCAAAAAGAAATTAATATATTAAAAAAAATAAAGACACAAAGGCAAATTACTTTAAATTATATTTCTATTACTCAAAATGATTCTAGTACATCATGAGAAGTTTAATGAAAATAAATTGTCATTAGTACATTTAAATTAACTAAGAAGTACATAACTTCATTCATCTCTCTTCTCGTCAACGAGGAAATGATTCAGACATTGAAGAATAAGAGGTATGGGGTGATAGTAGACTATCCTCCTTCAATCTTCTACCATCCGCATTTGTTTGGGAGACACTTTCACTTCCAGCAAGTTGGCTTCAAAACACTTCACAGACCCTGAATTCTCCAAGAGTGCTTTTAATGGTCTAGAAAAAAAAAATAGATAAGTAGTTATAAGCCCTCAATCGCTTTCTCCTCAGTAGTATATATACTGTTTGAAAATGAAAATCATGGTTTGATAAAGAACTACATAATGCCATCAATGCTTAGCTGGAAACGTATCATCTCAGTGCACGATCAATACACATCACTATCATAAAGAATGACAATATCTGCAATAGCAAGATTAATACCAAGTTCGGCAGCTCTGATAGAAACAGTGGAAGCAATGGCTTAAGTGCTTTTGGTGAACAAAACATGAAATAACAGAACACGAAATACAATATTATACGCTTGAAGTCAATAATAGAACATGAAATACTGGACTACATTGACAGCTATAACAACCTCAGATATAAGAGATTCGACATCTTCCTCATCTATGACTCTAAGATCACAATTTCAGCAGCCTCCCTTGCCAATTTTTGAACTTCCTAACATTTCC